TTATTATTATTATTATTATAGCCCTGATTTCTGCTTCAACAAACAACAAATCCCACCTTTTTTTAAAGTTTCGTGTACTGTGCTGCAATTTTCTAAATAATTCATTTTGAATTTAAATTTTAAATTGTTTTTCCCGAATTTACGCACACGCAACTTTTAGGGGCAGACATCTTGACAGCAAACAACTGTTCGTGTTTTCTTCTTTCTCTTAATCTTATAACTTTATTGTACAAATACAACTCCGGTGGCTGGAAACTATTTTGTGTGTTTTGGAATTACTATCAGACTCGTCGCCTGACACTGTTGGCGGTGATCAACTGCACCCGAGTTAGTGAATGTTGGAGAATAAGTTATATTCCAGTCCATTCATTTCATGCATTTTAAGTCTAATATTCAGGGATATTTAACATCTGCGCCTGACACACAGTACAAGCGCTTTGTTTGAGCTCTTGGCCGTATGGTTGGATTATTCTGGAAATTAAATCCGCTGATAAAAGAGCGAAACCCCCAAATGAAACATAATCCTATATTTTGTTTTATATACCAGCACGTGGATCGTATCAGATGCATGATATGTAGGTCTGATGTTTTTTATTCCCTCATGGCTGGAAATGGGATCCGCTGCAGTTATTATTTGATATCCATTACAAAGGGTTCATTCATTTCTGGGGCGATGTGGAAAGGCGGATTTTGACCTAACATGCCTGTTAGGCTTACTTGAAACAATCTTGACACTTGTTTGAATGCATATAGATGTAACAGGCCACCTTTTTGCAAAGAAGATGAATCTATTTGTGTGATTATGCTCTCATCAAAGTAGTTGTTGGAAGACAATATTCATTTCATCCACTAAACGTCCATCAGGCGATGACATTGGGGTAAATAAAAAGGTGGACGAACTCCAGATCACTACAATCATCACTATATGTACGGTCATTTATTTATTATCTGGAGTGGTTTAATCCAAAGATACTACATTTGTTTAATACTAAATAAACAACTATGAATATAGGTCATGAGGATTTATGTTAACTTGCGAAGGAAGGTAGACTGAAGCCCGGGCACATAAAGTGATGGGTAAAAATTGGGTTCAGGTGGCTTTATATCCACCAGCAGGCCCCTGAAAACAACATGAATGACCGGCCATAAGCTAATAAGGGCCCTGATGCCTTCCTTATACCGTGCATCCTGTGAGGCTCCCAGGAATTCCGCTTTGATTGCTGCACATCCTCCCAGTTGCTCCAGTAACTTGGCCATAAAACGCGGATTCGTCTGGAGCATTTGGAGTGTAGTGCAATAAAGCGTCTGAGACCAAGGTTATTAACTGTGACTAAGGGGCTGAAAAACAACGGCTGGGAGCATTGAAAGCTTGTGTCCACGGACCTTTCCGGCGTCATTTGTTTCAGCATCTTACCGTGGTAGGAATATTCTACATTTGTGTTGTGTTGCAGCGTAGACCTGCAGCTTTCGCCCACTGGGTGGCGCTCCTCAGATCAATGTCATTGCCGTGAATTGAGATATAAAAGAAGTTTGACTCAACGCTCTGCTGCTTTAAAATATGTCACCACGTCAGGATTTCACTGTTAAGGTAGGCAAAGAAATATTATCATGGACATTTTATGATTTCAGGGGGTGTATTGGTGTAATTTGAGGACATGGGTCTATTTTTTCTATCCCAGTTCATCTCGATCTGAAAAAGCACTAAGATGCTGTTTTTCATCCAAGGTGCAGATGTTGTGATGTAATGAAGGCATTAGTGGCAAAATTACTAGACGTAAAATAGTGCAACAAAAGACGGTTGCTTCTTTGAGCATCAAATTTAATGCTGGATCTCAGGTTGCAGTTTTGCAGACGTTATAGGCCTGCAGTGACTAATGCGCACTAACATCACAAGGGCCTATATTCCAAACAATTTGTGGCTCACAAACTTTTATAATCCCCATACAGTTTAAAACAGAAATTATACCTTATTTTATAAATACTAAATTGGATTTATGTTGTTTACTCGCTGTGTGAACAATGTAAACACGTGAAAATAAGAACTTGGGTTGCCCCATAGAGCATTTGTTCATTTTGATATTAAGATGCAACTTATGTGTGTGTTATAATGCGTGCGCGCTGGCATACGGACACAAACAGAGGGACCTTTTGACACACAAAGTCAGGATGGGATTTTCATTAGTTTTCTAACATTTCTTTAAAAAACTACTTGAATGAATTAAAAAACAAGTTTTATGGGAATAATAATATAAGAACAGCTCACCCACAGCGCACACTGAAACATCACAGGAAATATCCAATTGTGTTAATGATTATTATCATTCATTGAGACTAGACTGCAGCAGGTTTGACGCCATATAAAATGGCTGTACATAAACTGTAGCTCTCATTTCTAGACTTTATGGCTCCAGACTTATAGGAAAATGGAGGTGGCCGATGTTGTATTTCAGGGTAAACCCACCTTTGGAGACATTTTTATGCTGACCTAAATCTGTAACCCTGTGTTATAAACTCCTAACCCTGTTGACGGTCTTTAAAGGAGGCATGGGTTGATGTATTTCGGATTTATTTTATTTTATTTTAAATGTTGTAGCAGTCCAGGCTAAAGATTTGTGTTCTCTATTTTTGTCTTATGTGAATCAACTAATATTCATTTTTAAAATAACTTGCACGGCGGACTTGTATTACAATATGATCCGTATCAGATTATTGGTCTTGTTTATTCTAAATGAACGACTAAATGTCTATTATTAAACATTATCCCCATTAAGTTGTATATGAGCTTGTGTACGTTGCTGCTATGCAAGACAATATTTTTTTTCCCTGGCTGAATCAAGGTTACTAGTTTGTATTTTCCCATGACCTCCAACTTAGATGCGCTGACTTGTTGTCTCCAAAATGTCATGAAAAGGACAAAGACTATAAAGAAAGAAATGATAATCTTTCATGTGTTTAAAAAACAAAATTACAACTTTAAAATGCGCATTGACCATTTTGTTCGTGGGTAGAATGGATATTAGGAGGTGCTGATTTAATATTCAATTTAAATGTAAAAGAATGGGGATTATGTGTGTATCGGCCTTGGAAGAAGTGTGCCTTTTCTAGATAGCTAGTAAGTAAATACGAAGAGTAACTCTTACAAATTCCCAGTGGTTCTTTAAGGAGATAATAGCCAATTCTAATCTATTTAGTTACCAACTAAACACAGCCATTGCCAGTGTTAGGTGACCATTAAGACAAATGTAGCTCCAGGGCATTGTTCAACTGTGGCGCTTCCTTCAGGGTGCCTGCGTGTCACCTCCAGCCTTTGCAGTAAAAGGTGTCTGGACGCAATCATGACATTTGCACCCACAATATTCACCCAGCTCGAGGGCTCTGAAGGCAGTGACTTTGCACTGGTGTGCACAATGTGGCAAAATGTAACACTGTGTACACTGCGTTTGGCCAGTCCACGAGGCATTTTAAACATAGTCCAATAATAATCACCAGAGCAACACAAGAAGGGTTAAAAGACCCTCGACCAAAGAGTCACACAGGACCTTTTGGATTTTTGATGCACCCTGTGCTTCTCACAGGCACCTCTAGAACCCTTCATTTTAACAGTGCTGTAAAACTGGCCATAAAGCTATGCATTGTACATAATTGTTAGGGACAGCTTTCAACAACTGAGTTGTCAAATAGGGGTTGTTGTTAAATTTACATAGGCAGCTCGAGGCTTATAGGCGGTCATCGAGGCTCCGAATGTGAGAATCAAAGGAGATTTAAAGATTTTACCTAAAACCCTCTGATGCACCACTTTCCTCCACAGTTTGCTCTTTACTTAGCCTAAAACAAAATATACGACACAGTGGAGCTGCCTGCTCGGACTGGGAGGAGTCTGTAGTCGCCTGGTGTTTTAATTGGCTGCAGGCTACAGTGAGAAGCGTGAGTATCAGTAATTATTCAGCAATGTTTTGCACAAGAAATGTCAGCCAGAAAGGGCTATCTTCATCCTCCGTCAAATTATACCACAACGATGACATGCCCCAACAACCAAGCTGGAAATTCATTTTTCGTGGACTCCCTGATCAACGTGAGAACCGACAGTGGTTCCTATTATCAAAGTAACGGGGTGTATTTGCCACCGGCTTCGGAATATTCATATGGACTCTCCGGTGGCTCGTGTTTCCCGGGGATCGGTAAGCGCAACGAGCCAAGCACCCAAAGCGTGATCCCTTCTTCTGCTCCGTATGTTCAAGGGATGGAAACGTGGCTGGAAACGTCGAGATCCTGCCGGGTGGATCAGCCCAGCGGCCAGCATATGGCTCCGTGTTCATTCTCACCGAGTATAAAAGAAGAGAGCGCATATTGCCTTTATGAGTCTGACAAATGTCCTAAAGGAGCAACAGTAGATGACATTTCCTACTCGACTGCATCATGCCCGGTCACCGGCAGCACCTTGCCGGTCCCGGGCTACTTCCGCCTGTCTCAGACATACACGTCCTCCAGGCTTTACCATGATGTCCAGCCAAACATGAATCACTTTACTCTGCAACGACCTGCCCGCTTGGACAGCCAGCCCTCCCAGCCCCAGGCTGCCTCTGCTGAGCCGGAGCGGAGGGAGAGCCACGAGGAGGCGCCTGTCCCCGCGCCCTGCGCCCCGGCCAGGGAGGAGGACAGCCGCCTCTCCTCGGAAGGTTCATCCTCCCCTGAGCCCGCTGAGACGTGCAGTGCGGAGTGTCCAGAAAAACCCGTCAAAGGTGAAGAGTCGACACACATTGTATGGCTAAAATACGCTGCAACAAATAACAGCAGGCGGCACAAAGGGCATGCGCGTATCATTTTTAGGCTTCTATTGCGTTTAACCGATGATTTGAGGAATGCATGGGTGTGAATGCTGATTTTCTACTAGACTTTTAATATTTAGGTCAACAGTCAGCCACTCACAGGTGCGCGCTTATCCGGTATTTAGTGGTTTATGGTTGTGAGGCGAAATTGAACGTGACTTAACCAATCAGAGCCGAGGATCAGAGCTATTGTGCTTTATTAGCTGTTTTTTTTTTTTTAAGATCACAAATAGTCTGCTATAGTTGTGCTTTATTACAACGCTATTCAAACATTCCTCGTGGATTTATTTTAACAGCCACCATTTTATGAAGTTTTGACCATTAAAAAGCACATACATTATTTAAAATATTTTCAGGGCGTCAGGGTTATTTCATTAAATGCAGCCACAAGACCAATCCAGTCTATTCAATTTGCCCTGTGCAGGATTCTGATGCGAGTTAATCAAAGACACAGGCCTTGCCTATAATTTCAGCAGACTGTGCTGGCTGTGTTTTATGTCTTAATAAAGGTGCAGTTGGCTCCAGGCTGCTGTGGTTAAGTCTGCTTAACGGGGCAAATAGCTGCTTCTGGTAAAATGCTGAATTGCAGCTATATGACATGTCCACATAGATATGTGACTGTGCGTAAAAAGGTACTAAAATTCAAATAGAGGACAGAAATCAGGCATTATAGGCGTATTTGGTTGTGAAGTAGGCAGTTCAAAGAATAGAATTTAGATGCCAAAGCCTGTCTTCAGTAGTTTGCAGTAAAACACACAATTTTATTAATTGAGCATGTGAGGTTTTGTTTATTTTGGATTTTGAATCTTACTCGTCCATAAATTCTAGCAAAAATATGAGCCTTCCCTCCTGGTATGATGTTTGTTTTTGTCACACCTGTTGCCTAATGTCCTGTCTCATTTTCATCGTAGGAGATGGAAAAATGGAAAGTACGGCTAACTGGCTCACAGCTAAGAGTGGCCGAAAGAAGCGCTGCCCCTACACCAAGCACCAGACTCTGGAGCTGGAGAAGGAGTTTCTCTTCAACATGTACTTGACTAGAGAGCGTCGTCTGGAGATCAGCCGCAGTGTGCACCTCACTGACAGGCAAGTCAAAATCTGGTTCCAAAACAGGAGGATGAAACTGAAAAAAATGAGCCGGGAGAATAGGATCCGAGAGCTCTCCAGCAACTTCAGTTTCTCATGAGACTGTCTGCGTCTCTGGCGCCCTCCTCCATCCATGGCAAGGGCGCCTGTGCAGAGCCCCCCACCCAACTGTGAGAATGTCCATGGAAAATAGGACCCTACTGCTAACTTATTGATTGTTATTCCTTATTTTCACGTCTGTTTTATGTTTTCTCGTGGATATGTATTTATAAATGGCTACATTTGTAACGTTGATCCATTGTGTTTTTAAATGTTCAGAATGTGACCACAATGTTTCAGAGCTTCAGGCTTGTACATATTGTATATTCAACCTGAGTGAACCATTGGAATTTGCATGCTGGACTAACCCTTGGGATACTTTGTGTTACAGTTACATGTAGGCCTTTATGTGACAGCTAAAGAACCCAAGAGGTCTGAATATTTGCACATTTTGCTGGTCAAATTAATAAAACCTTCCCTGCAACTGCAGACTTGTTATTTCATTCAGAAAGACAGATTAGCAGCTGCGCGGTGTTTAAATCTTAAAAGCTGGCACAGGTACTGCGCATGGTGCTAATGCCTTTGTGTGCTGGACTGGGTCCGCTTTAGGCACAGTAAATATTGTTACAGTAGTAGAGGGCGATGTTCTTCATAGTTTAGGCCTGTAATAGATGTGTGGCGGCTGTGCACACTTCATTGCTTTTTGTCCTTGACACCAGACTTAAATGTAAACCACGCAGTGAGTGGAGAAGCAGTGATTTTTTTTTCTCCTATTATTATAATTGATTTATTTAAATTATGAATGAATGGCTCTTGCTGCAGTAACAATGACAAACATGATTTAAATGGTAAATTGCTTAATTGTGATGTCTAAAAAAAGATGCATCGGGACTAGATACAGTTACAAAACACTTTGAGAATTGCCGCACAATGTGAGTTCACGAATAAAATCTGTCTGAGCATTGTCATTTTGCGCCTTTTCAGATTGTTAAAATTGTTACAGGTAGACTTGCTATACTGCGAATTTATATATAATTTCCACACCTTGAAAACACATTATAAGAGATATTCCTGAGGAGGAGAGCGGGCTGTTGAGTGGTTTAGGTAGTCTCATGTTGTTGGGCTATAATATTTCTCCCACAACACGAAACTGCCTTGATTACCTCAGTAAAACTCGTCGCATCATGAAAAATGAATCACTATTAATTACTGGTCGCATTCAGTAACAATTTGGCGCAGACTGCTTCAAACACATAAAAAAAATGATTCCAAAAAGTGCCATAAAGTGTTTAATGTTGTGCGTAAACGGAACTCTTGATATCATTTTTATGTTTTTTGCATTATAAAGCTAAATTCTGTTACATATGTATCTGGACCTATACTGGATTTAATTTTAAGAGATGTAAAGTTTTCACCATGTCTACAATTTAAGACAACCTCTGCAAAAAAAAAAAAAGGATTTTGAGTGTCTGTGTGATCTAAGCAACAGGAAGTAAAGATGCAGGCTGGGGAATGAAAGGATTAGGGCTTGTATGTGTCCAGGAGAGGAGGAAAGGACAGACAAGGCCTCGGTTATGATCATTGCAGTCTGCCAGTTGCCTCGCCGTAGGAAATGCCGGATGCGTCTGCCTGCGCCAGAGAAAGGACACAAAGGCTTAGCTTTATTGGTGATATTTAGCTTAGACAGCCAGGTTGTAACCTAAAGAAAAACAACCCAATTGCCCGTGATAAAAAAGACTGTTATATAGCACCCAAATAACCTCACCCCACTTTCCGTTTTAGATTGCCTTCAAAGTAGACCCACAGCCCTGCAGACATAGCAGTGTGCATCTTGGAAACTGGCCTTTAATAGCCTACGTTTTGATTTTAAAACCTCCAGTGACGCTTTAAACACATTTCTGCTTGTTTTATCGTATTTAAGAAATCTTGAAAATGTTTTATGCAGCCACTAAGGAGAAACAGAATTTTCGTTTCCAAAGTAAGAGATTTATAGATGGAGGTCATTCAATTATAATACGTTGTTTTTTTTATTATTTTATGTTGGAGAGTAAATCATCCCATTAAGTTTTTATGAATATACAATTTTTTAAGCGAAGAGGTTGTTTGGTGATTTCACAAATGGAGGCTTTAAAGTAATACTCTCGCAGCTCCCCCTTCCCTTACCACTATGTTCGATTACACCAATATGAGATCTCTTGACAAAAATCATAACGTTTATTGCTTATAAAACGTAATATTTCCCAATAAAGGCGCAGGGATTTGCTATTAAAATATGGTGGGGAAAATGGTGGCCATTTACTTGAGCAGCAGGCTGATTTATTATTTATTGTTCTGTCCCACGGTCACGTGTTTGGGGCGCCCTATCCAGTCTTGGGCAAGGTTCAACTTGCTGGACGCATTGAGCCCTATAGCTGGTGCAGGAAAGCAGCACATTATATGCAATGAAACGATTTTTTCTGAACATTGCAGGACTGTAACGCGCTGGGTTTTTTTTTTTTTTTGCTTTGGCATTTTTTTCAATGTCGATGTTGGGAACGAGTTATTATGTCGAGTCGCCTGTTCTTCCCGAGCAGGAAGATATGGCACCGAGGTACTCATCAGCTGCAGGGGTGGAGCAGGCGATGCTCACCGAATATGGCGGACACGAGTCTTGCCCTTTGCAGGCGAAATCTTCTATTTTTGGTGGATCATGGAGTCCAATCTCGGCCCACCCTCCAAACGCGGCCACACCGACTTATATACATCACCATTACACAAGTGGGGACAGCGATGGCATGTTTACGCGCTCCTGGGCGTTGGATCCGGTGTCCGCGTCCCTGTGTTTAACGGGATTACCATCGACAGCCATGCATTATGAGATAAAACCCGAGCCTCTGATTGGGAGTGCTGAATGTACAACTTTGGAGACGCACACACCTCTTTTGTCTGACATAGGAAACGAAGCGTCCCTTGTGGAGATTCCCTGTGAAACCACATCCACGTCTAAAGCCACTGAGGAGAGCCCGTCAGCAGAGGGAAAGACGGAGATAGATCCAAGTAAGCAATGCAGTGTTTTCATTCAATTCTTGTCACTTTATGGACAAATTTAAATGATGAAAATTGCATTAATGGCTTGTGGATGTGGGGGGATTGTTTTTGGGTGGCACCAGCTTGGTTTAGTATAAAAATGGGCGTAAATGTGTTGTAAAAAAATATAGTTTAAGCTCATTTTATGGCACAATGACATGATGGCCTGTAAAAAAACAGAATATTCATATTCTTCAAGATGGTTAACACACTTCACTCTTTAATTATACAGCCTTTACAAAGGAATGTGGTGAGGAATTTGCTATCCTCAGTCCTCAAATTTCTCAGTGCACAGTGAAAATAACCCAAAGTAATTTCTTAACAAATTAGCATTTAATCATGCCAGGAGTAGCATGTTCTCCCCAAACTGTAAAGCCAATATTACAGTCATGTTTTTAAATCCTGTTCTGAGAGCATTAACTCTCCTGTCTCCTGGTTTTGACCCCCTGTTTCCAGATAACCCGTCATCCAACTGGCTTCACGCAAAGCCCACCAGAAAAAAGCGTTGTCCGTATACAAAGCATCAAATCCTCGAACTGGAAAAGGAGTTTCTATTTAACATGTACCTCCCCCGGGATCGTAGATACGAGGTAGCGAGAGTCCTGAGTTTGACGGAGAGACAGGTGAAAATCTGGTTTCAGAACCGCAGGATGAAGATGAAGAAACTGATAAAAACACGTTCTCTAAAGTTCAATTATTGTCAATGCCAGAACTTAAAAAAATACGTCATTACGAATTCATATTTTGAATTTTTAAGATGAAACAAGCATCTAACAGTTAAGCTAAGCTGGTTAGCTATTTTATTAATTACCTCTGCGCTGTAATACGTAAGTACTCATTCGCCTATACATTACCCTGCTGCTCTTAAATAATTGTTAAACAATCGCGCGGTATGTCTTCAATTCAAACAACACATACCACTAACAAATTAATAAGACATACTTTCCCTTCTTCATTGCTATAACGAAACTACCTCTTTATTTTGATCGAACAGGAACGACGAGGTACTCCTCGCGAGTGTCGCACAGATGCTCTCTCACAACTGGACTCCAGAAAACATAAACGCTAAAACTCTACGAGCTTGCACAAACCACGCATACACTAAAATCTCACAATACCGCGCAGCTGAAAACGACATCAGGCTCAGTCAAGGGATCATTTCCAGTGAAATACACAAGACGGTATACGCAGTGTCACCTGATTCTCTCGTGCGCCAAAAAACACACACTCCATCTCCCGTGCAGCGCGATCCTCTCCACGCGAAACACCAAACCACCTGGATATCATCCACCTGGAACAACAAAGACACCACCACTCCTGTTGCACTACACGCACACAAACTCTCGTACAACAACATCGGTGCCTACAAAGTCAGCCGAATAATCTCAACGACACGACTCCCCCCCCTCCCCACCTCCTTCTCCCGCCCTCTCCTATCTCTCGCTCGCGCTCTAAACCCACCATCCCAGTCCAAAACCAACCCGTTAACCTGTTCCTCCGCCGGTCTTTGTTTTCT